TCACCTTGCACTTGTCCGTGTTGAAACCCATCCTATTCTTATCCGCCCACCCTTGTAACCTGTCTAGGTCCAATTGTAGCCTGCTTCTTCCTTCTAGTGTGCCCACATCCCCCCACATCTTAGTGTCATCAGCAAATTTGAACAGGGTGCTTTTCACCCCCTCATCCAAATCACTGATGAAGATGTTGAACAGTGCGGGCCCGAGGACTGAGCCCTGCGGAACCCCACTGCCCACGTCCTTCCAGGTTGAGAAGGACCCATCATCTTTAACAAGACGATGCTGAAACTTTAAAAATAATAAATACAGACAGTTTAGAGGCAAAATAAGAATTAGTGGGACTTCACTTCTGTGGAAGGGGTTGATTAACCAATCTCTCTCTCTCCCTCTCTTTCTCTCTCTCATTATAATAATGAGTTGTTTAAATTTGGGCATACCCTGATAAATCTTTCCACAAACTTGTCTCTGGTTTCTCTGGCCAACATGATGCATGGGTAGTCTGAAAACATTGCATAAGACTTTGTTACTCTTAGAGGTAAAAAGCACCAAGAACATGTGCTGTAAGCACACCCAAAAGGATGACCTGATAATGTTAACTTTTTTAGTAATAAAAAGAAAATTGCCAAAGTTATTAAGGACACAGTTTTCACCCTGCTATTTTGGAAAACATATAGCCATACTGTAGTGTACCTGTATGCCAATGATACATTTTATTAGACAATCTACCAGTGATATCCACATCTTTTTTTTTAATCCTTGGAGGTGACATTTTGACTTCCTTGCTGGATTGGGCTTTTAACTGCTGGATGCACTTTCATGACTCCCAGTGCAGAAAGGAGAAAGAACCTATTGCAACAAAATAAATCTTGGCAACATCTTCTTTCCCACTCACCCTAACAGGAGAGGCGAATTTGACATTGAAAGGGGAAGAGGTCAGATATTCTAGACACTTCCATGTAAGAGTACCTCATTAATCACCTTCTGATTATATTAATTTTTATTTTGCTCTGTCTTTTCACTCAGGGGTGTTTTGACCATTGCTTGGAGTATGGCAGATTCTGAGTTGTTACTCAGCTGCGGAAAGGATGCTAAGATTCTCTGTTCTAACCCTAACACAGGAGAGGTACTATACACAAACCATCTTTAAATTTCAGAAAACGCAAGATCATCTTTGTCTTATGTTTGTTGTGTGTAGCTATAGTGAACAACCTGACTTTGTGCAGAGACGATATGGTGATGTGGGCTAAGCAAGTCATACTAATTTAGCGTTCTTTTAATGTGTTCTTCAAGCCAGTATTAACTTCTCGGATCCAAACCATTTCAGCCAAACCAAATGAGGAAAAGCACATAGGGTCTTAAGAGTCATAACACCAGTGGTATCATTTGGCTGCTACTGCTAGTTCTATAAATTAAATCAAAATAAGACCATGCTACAGAGAACTTCCTCCCACTTCTGGGGACACTGTCAGTTCAGTTTTGTCTATTTCTCCCATCTCCGCTAAACAACATTTTGTAAAGTGTAACCATTTCCAGACTTTTTATGACTTTGAGTTTAGAGGGTTCCCAAACTTCATTGGGGAAAACTGATACATTTCTCTTTTGCCATTTCTCCATGCCCCCAGCCATGGCTTTCAC